ACTAATCCTAACTCTCAAAGACCAGAGAGAATTTCTCTGACCCTAAAATCTGACCTAGTTTTCTCAGCATGTTCATGGATGAAATTCTCCTAGCACACTTAATATAAATGAAAACTGAGCATATGTACAGCTTCATGGCAATAAACACTTTATTTTTTATTCACAAACCTAAGACTAAATGTTCCTAAATAGAGAGATAGAAAGTGAAGAAAAACATGTTTCAGTTGGATTCGTGTAGGGCAATACAGTGCTTTTCAGCAAGGTTTAAGGTGCCTGGTAGCTTTCTTGAACTTCACTTGACCTTCTCCAATAGCTAGCTTGCCTTGAATGTCTTTGAATCAGCCTGTAGAACTCAACCTGCACAAGCTCAAAGTGAAAATGGTGAACACTGTAAATGGAGTTATAGTTGGTATTTGAGGTTTGGGATAACTTGAGTGAGTTGAATGGAAGGTGTTTGAAGCAACTTGGGGCAAAACGCACGAGCCAAATGAGCTATGACACTCAAGTTGCAGAACCTGCCCTGTTTTGCCAAAGGAATGTGATTTCTGGCTATGGGGTGTTTAGGGGATCAAGCACTCATGTTTCTAGCTTAAAGGGTTGTGAGAAAGATGTTTGAAGTGTTTGTGTAAGTTAACATTGGTTGGTTTCCAAGTTCTAAGGATTTGGACAAATTGCTTGTTTTTGAAGTAAGAAAGTGAAAGTTGTGATTACAGGCCTGTACAAGCCATCAAATATGCTGCATACAATCCTCTTGGTCCCTGCAATTTGTGGGTTTGATTTGGCTTCTGAGATCTTGGCCCTATGCTCAAAGATCATGGTTTGACATAAAGCACACTTTTGCAAAAATGGGAATTTGCCTTTTTCTACTTAAGGCCTAATCTTGTGTACAATGTCCAAATGGCCAAAACAAAAGCTTAGACTGATGGATTTGCATTTAATTAAGGAGTGTGAAGTGGTTTAGATGCCTGAAAACTAGTACAAGGCATGCTGGTTTGAAAATGCCACTTGAGTGAACATGAATTTGCCATGGATACAAAGTGAGTTTTTGCCAACTTCAAGCATTCGATTCTCCTTAACCACAAATGTATTTGAGGAGTTCTTGGACAATTTGGAAAGCTTGCAACATGCACTATAGTCCATATTTGAAATTCAACTTGAGATTCCAAGTGGAACTATGTTAAAAATGGCCAAGAAGATAGGGCAAAATCCTGCCTAAACTAGGGCAAATTTTCCCTAAGTTAAAAGTTTTAGGGACCCTTGTTCCAAAAATCATAACTTAAGATCCAAGCTTCTTTTAAGAAAACTTTGTGAATAAAAGTTGTAGAATTTGTGGAGGACTACAACTTTCATGTTGTAAGTTTTGTTTGAATCCATTTGCATCATGGTGAAAATGTGGGACAAAGTTAGGAAAAATTAAGAAAATTTCATAACTTTGAAAAATTCTAAGTTATGAAAATTTTCAATTTCAAACCCTAATTTGCAATTTTGGGTTTCTTGATGAACAAGTTTCATATTTTGACACATCTTGATGAAAAATGACCCCTGGCACTTGATTTTGACCAAAAAGTCAAAGTTTGACTTTTTAGTGTACAGTCAAATTTTGATCAGTTGACTGAAAAATTCATCTGTCAATCTCATGCATTTGAGATCTTTTGAACTTGTTGAATAGGTCAAGATGATTCCATTGAGTCCTTGAGTCCTTGTTTGATCTTAAATTGCCATTGGTTAAGTCAAAAAGTCAGAAATTGCCTTTGTATAGTCAAAACCTTAAAAATGACCATTTTGCCCTTTTGGTGATCTGATCAAATTTCTTGTGGAATTATGGTCCAAACTTTATCAAATGGTTCACATGAGTTCATAATGTTGATGTGGGTCAAAATTCATGAGGTTTGACTATAAATTAGCCACAGTTGAATTTTCCCCAATACAACTGATTTTTAGGTCAACTGTCCAATTGACTGGGCAAAAATTTGATTCAAGGCTTGAAACTTGGTATGGGCAAACTTATGAGTCCAACATGAAGTATGAAAGTCATTTTGGGCATTGTAGGTCCAAAAATCTCTGTGCAAACTCAAACCCTAATTTAGGTCATCAGTGCAAGGAGGTGTCTTGAGCAGAGCAAACCCTAGCTTGATCTTGAGTTCCAAGAGCCTTGTGATGAGAAATGTTGATAAAATGAGAGGGCAAATTTTGGGGTACAACAGGGGCGTCGACCAGTTTCCTCTTCGCGGAGTTTATAGTTATATCATTGAATCCCTCACAATTTATGACCATGGCAGAGGGGAACCTTTCCCACCTACTGTGCATGGACAGAGGCTCTTCGATATCGTCGGGGACATAGAAGTCCTCCGGTCTTGTAACAGGGAATGTTGTCTGGATGAGGACTGTCTTGTTTGATGGTCAGGCATCCTCCTCAATCTCTTTTGTGTCACAGGCATCTCGAAGAGGGGCGCCGCTTCACCTATATTGCCCGAGTCTTCCCCCTTTGATGAGGATCTCAATAGCATCTTTGAGATGAACACAATCTTCAGTTAGGTGTCCATGACTTCAATGATATTGGCAGTATTTGCTCCAATCAGTCCCGGGCTTAGCAGGAGCGAAGCGAGGACGCTTGACGCTGCCGTCCTTGAAACCAGTATTAGCGCACTCCGCCAAGATGCACTCGCGGGAAGCTGTCAGCGGAGTGTACTCGGTAAACCGCCCCGAAGGTCATCTTTGCTCGCGAGGATCTCGTAGTTTGTCATCCCTTCTTTTCTCGCTCGTTCGTCGAGGAAGGCCCAAATCTTGTTGTTGTGGATTGATGGTGGATCCACGATTCCTTTGGTCCCGGGCTCTATTGGCCGCTTCCCTCTCCTCATAATCCATATAGGCCCTAGCCTTTTCGAGAAGAGCATCAAATGTCCACGGTGGTTCAATGCTAACAACTTTTCTGAACTTCGTGCCCGGGAGGAGTCCCCTCTCAAGCAGGTATCTCTTCATATGATCGATGCAGGGGATCTGAATGGCCTTGCGGTTTAATCAATCAATAAACTCCCGGAGGGTCTCGTCGTGTCTCTGGATGATTGCCTTAAGGGTCGCTTCAGTCTTTGGATGTCAACGTGAAGCAGTGAATAAACTGATGAACTGGTTTTTTAAATTTCTCCAGGAGGTAATTGACCCCGGGGCGAGGCTTTGATACCAGTCCATCATAACCTTTCTCAAAGTCGTGGGGAACAACCGACATTTTATCGATCTTCCGACGTTATGATAATGTAGCATTTCCTCGAACCCGTTGATATGGTCAATTGGGTCGACAATACCGTCGTACTCCTTTAGATGGGGAGGTTTCTCCATATCCGGGGGGATGGGTGCCTCCATAATAGCTTAGGATAGAGGACCGCGGGGGTCGTCTTCGTCGTTTCTGTCCGGAGATCGAGAAGGCGACCTATTGTAATGACAGTCGCGGTGGCGGCCCTGGTCGCGCGAAGGATTTCTTGGGCGGTGTGGTCGTTCGTCATTTCCCCTGTTCCTGTTTTCAGGGGGTCTTTGCTCTTGATGCGGGGGGATGTAATCACTTCTCCCCGTATCTACGGGTTAGTCCCTCTCCAACGCGGGGCATTGCCCGGCTGGTCGGGGAGAGGGGTTCGAGAGGCATCCCGTCTGCGTCTCCGCGGGGGAGATTGGGGACGAATCTCTATCTGACGAGGATGAGGAGAATGAGGCCTCCTATGTCTTTTGGGGGCTCTCCGAGAATCTTCGAGCGCCCTTAATCTCTCCCCTTTGGAAAATATCAAGTAGTTTGTTTGGTTTATTGCTGCGAGCAGTGCCCTTGTCGTGGCATCAGCACTCGCGGGAATGGGGACCTCCTGGAACGCGGGTGGCTGGTAGTTCTGGAGAGGATGACGATCGTCTTTGAGCCGTCGGGACAGTGACGATGAAGAGGCATTCAACCCGTCTCTGTACTCTAAGGGACCAGGCATATCATCGACAAAGCAGTTATTATTGTCGATGTTGTTATTGTTACCGACATTGAGGCCAGTGGGACCAGCATTGTTGACGTCAGTGTTGTGGTCGGCGACGTTGTTGTTGACGTTGATGATGTTGTTGTTTTCTGCTGTGTGATCAGCCATGACAGTCAAAAGTAGTTGAATTAGCTTTTGTCTCGTGTGAATGGTAGATAGAGAAGCAAGTTTCCCACATACGGCGCCACTGATCGTACCTGACCAGAATGGACCGTCACAACTTACGTCGAACAGAACTTGAGGGTAAGGTGGGGGTACCTGCAAGACACTCTGATGCCAAAGTAAATTTCAGAATGAGCAAGTAAGTAAGAGAGTAAGAAAATGTTTAATACCTGACCCTTTCGAAAGAGAGAGTATTTATAGCCTCCAGCGCTGGGTCAAAGTCTCCTCATTGGGCTGGTCAAACAGGCCCAAAGTGGAGACTATCAGGTCCTACGTGAGTAGTAGGGACCCGCACGTGGTCCCCCACCTGGATGACTTCCTCCGCAAGATCAGGAGGATATGGATGCGGTCTTTCCAGAGTCACGAAGACTTCGTGATATTCGGAGACGTTGATAGTCAGTCCTACGAGGAGGATGCTTGTGAGGTACTTCAGCTCGTCGTGGATGCTCTCCGCCAGACGCGAGGTCGTGTGGGGGATAAGGCTTGGTCGAGGAGGATCAGAGGGTGTCCTCGAGATCATCCTAACCGGCGTGTGAGCTCCCTGAGACTAACTGAGTTTTTCCCGTACAGCGAGATTGCTTCCTTACGAGGAGTGGAAGTTTCTATCCGACGGACCTCATGTGGAGTTGGATCAAGGACAGACCCAGTCCAGAACAATTTCATATTCCATATATTCAAGTAAAAGTAGAATATAATGTATAACTATTATCTACCTACTACGTGTAAAATCTCGCTCATTGTCAAAGATTAGGGTTTCCGTGACAACCATCTTCATTTTACGATTCATTTATCCGAAACGCAAACTTGATACAACTGCATCACTTTCCATCCAAAAAAATGGTAAACTTCCTCTACTCTCACCATTGTTATTTTCTATCAATCGTTCGAAATTCTCCCAATTTTAGTTCTCGTGTTTGTATAAATTTTTGTTTAATTTTTCTCTGTTATTCATTTTGAGCAGACAAAGAGAACCAAGAAGGCAGGCATTGTTGGAAAGTATGGTAGGTTTTCAGTGATTATTATGCTCTTTTTCTTCTAGATTGGTTTCAATACTGTTTTTAAGATGATTTGCGTTGGTTAGGATTTTTTATTTTTGTGTATAAGATTGTTTTTTTAATGTGCTGCAGCTTGGTATAAGCTATAAGGGATTTGTTATTGATTATGCATTTTTTGTTAAAATATATGAATATGAATGTTTACTGAGAAAAAGTTGCTAAAATCTATGCTAATATGAATTGTTGATGGTTAGATTGTTGTACTTGTGTTTAGATTTTGGAAAAAAAGGAAGCTGTTTTTACTTGTCTTCCAATGTTGTGAAGTTGTTGCGATAATGGTACGGAAGGCAGTGGCAGATATAATGGTAGTTTTTGGGCTTGCCGCAATTGTGAATATCGGCTGATACTGTGGATTTTTCCGCCATAATCCGTTATAACGGCACCGCAAAGTGGCCAGTATGACGGGATTTTGGCTCGTTGCCTTGGACCGCCGTCCATAATCGACAACACTGACGGAGGGTTCTATGTCCATCTCCATAGACCACAAAGCTATACTTATCAGTTATTGCTAGCTTTGTAATCTGCCATTTGCAAATTGATAACACTAGCCAGATGATTGCTTGAAACATTTAAGGAGAATAATTATGTTTATAATTAAGTAGTGGTCATTGATTATGCATTTTGAGAAGACATTGGTTTTCTTTGATGAAATTCATGGTAAGCATTTTTGTTGTGTTAGGTACTCGATATGGTGCTAGTCTGCGGAAGCAGATTAAGAAGATGGAAGTTAGTCAACATAGCAAATTTTTCTGCGAATTTTGTGGAAAGGTAGATTTTTCTGCTGAATTGATCTTGCCCTTTTTGTTAGTTTATCACAGTAAAAACCAAACTGGATCTAACGAGGAAGTTATTTTGTTGCAGTATGCTGTGAAAAGGAAGGCTGTAGGAATATGGGGATGCAAGGATTGTGGGAAAGTGAAAGCAGGGGGTGCTTACACTTTGAAGTAATGCATGTTTTTCTGCATCCTTTTTACTTCAATTGTTTTAGATTTTTTTCCCCTTTCTTTTTAAGCAGTTTGCTGACATTTTTCTTTGCTATTTCTGACAGTACTGCAAGTGCTGTGACTGTGAGGAGTACCATCCGAAGGTTGAGGGAACAAACCGAGAGTTGAACTTTTTGGTTGCTGTAACTTTCATGATTTTGGTCAATTATTTTCACGGATAGGTAAATGTTAAAGATTTTGATCGATTGACTTGATAAATTGCATTGTGTTCAGAGAGATTTGTGCTGTTGAAATGCATTGTGAACTGAATTTTTTTCTTAGCGCGATTTGATTGGTTAGATCTGATTTCTGTTGTAGCACAAAAGGTTTTTATGAAAAGAGGTGATGACATTTTAGAGTCAGACAGAAAATATGTAAAGCCTACTTAAGAATTGTTCTAACCAAATTTAAACTCGAATTTTTCTAAACGATTCGTCCATATGGGTTCAAGCCTTAATAACCTTTAACAATGATTAATAATAATATATTGTCACTTCTTTGTTGTAGCATCTGTTAGATTCTCTCCACTAGATATCATCATATTTAAAGTATTTTCAGACATTAAAAATGAGCAATTTCTCAGTTGAGATTCAATTTTTTATTAGCTATATTGTAGAAGACTAACTCATTTGGCTAGACCTAATCTCTGTTGATAACATACTGTCATTTCTTTAGCTTTTATACCTGAGAACTTGTTAGTGAATAACTTGAGAGTTTGCTTAATTGTTGCAAATAAGTCTCGCAACTATTATTTTATAAAAGCACAACCCTTGAAGATGTTTTGTCCATATAAGCTCCGCATTAGAAAGTATCATAGTTTGTTATTCAAGTTTATTAGTGCATATGACAACAATGTTTTGCTTCTTACTTTTTTTTCACGAACATAAACATCAACCAATAAGAGCACAGTATCCACATGCAGGCTGCCTATAAAAGGGACTTGAGCTCAACCAACACATGTGTAAGCAACAATACCTAAATTACATTTGTTTGTGTGAGTAATATCTTTTCCAAGATATTCTTTAATGTGCCTCAAGATTCTAACAACATCACAATGGCTATCACAATGAAAATTTAAGTAATGAATCACTACACTATTCATCATGGTTAAGTAATTCAATGCCTTAACAAACCTCTTATATATTCCTAGATCTTGAAAAGACTCACATTGATCTAGTAGGAGTTTGACATGAGATTTTGTACTTGTCAAAATATACAGGTGTGCTTGGTATTTCTATAAGGATAAGGGATATTAAGAAGCCTTAGTAGATATAACCGTTTATGGTGGTTAGGGTTTACCTGTAGTGACGAGAAGCTCAGTATAATGGTGCTTATGATATTTAGGGTGGTTTAGAGGACCTACTAACTTATGAAGTGAAAGGCTTTGTATTATGCAGTATTCTGTGTAAGTTATGACTTATCATTTTCTCTCGTTAGAGGCAACATTTATAGAGGTTTTTGGGCCTAGAGTTTCCTTGGGATGGATCACCGTCCACTCAGTTCCTCAAACACGAGGACTTTGTTAAAGGGCGACATGTTTTCAAACCATAGAACGTTTAGATTGTTCTGATACCATAAGTTTCTTGGTGACATGCACGACGAACTAGACTGACTAGGCTTTGGGTCTTCAAGTGAGGTTACATTGATCTTAACTAATGGGACTATAAGTCCCTTAAGCGAAGCGTTGGGCCTTTCAGGCGACACTTATATCATGCCCTCAAACAAGACTTTAAACTTAGTATCTCAGGTTACACTTTGGTGTCGCCTCCAGGATGAGATTTATATGTTGGGTCCCGCTCGAGGAAAACTCAAAGCCTCTGAGGTGGGGAGTTTGGATAACCTTTGAGACGAGAACTCTTAGTCCCCCATGCTAAGCTATACTGAGTCTGGGTGATGAGACTATAAGTCCCTTAGGTAAGGCGTTATATCTCTCGGGCGAGACTTCTATCAAGCCCACTGACAAGACTATAAACTTAATTTCTTAGGATAATTTTTCAGTCGCGCCTCCATAGAGAGATTTATATGTTGGATTCCGCTCGAGGAAATTCCAAGTCTCTCGTGCGTGGAGTTTGGATAGTTGGTTCATGTTGTTCTAAAGGGAGGCAAGGATCCCCATTGGAGAGTCCATCATACAAAATACTGCCTTAAGAGGCGATAGGGATCTTCACCATGAAGTTCATCATACAAAATATTGCCTTAAGAAGTGGAATAAGACGGGATGCAGGCGAGGTATAAAGCGAAACCTAGAATAAGATAGAAGAAAAGAGATGACGAGATGCAAAGAGAATCCATGAAAATCTTCAAAAACCATAGCGAAAACAAAGCCAATAATCCTGAGAATAACACATGATGGAGAAGGAAATGACACTCACACTAGAGGGGATGAAAATCAATCAAGAACTAGATATATAAGAGATTGTTGGGGGCAATCTTTTAGGGAAATTTTGATTGGATTCTTGGTAGTATGAACCATAATGATAGAAAAAGTCTCACAAATTTTCTTTAAACCTTCAACTTATGTTTTTCTATAAAAGATGAAGGAGGAATTGAATATATGTATCACAAAATACAATTTGAACAAAACACGTGTAAAGGAAAATCTTTTGACTTTTTTTGCTGTCTTGTACTACACTTATATTAGTATAATTGAAACATATGCCAATATAAACTAAAAGTTTACAAATTATAATAAATTTTTATTTGGCATAACTGGTTGGGACATCTCGATTATATACTGATGTGAAAAAAATATTAAAACATCATGTGGTCATCCATTGAAGAATCAAGTGATTACTCGATCTAATAAGTTCTCATACTATTTTTATTCTAAAGCGAAGTTGATAACTTGACCATCACCAACAAAAATTAAAAAGGAATCTCTCAGGCTTTTAAAGCATATCCATGGTGATATATATGGTCTAATATAATATATGTGGTCCAGTATACCAAAGTCTATTAAAGATATTTAAACCATTGTCTATTAAACATTGTATACAAAGTGCGGACTTGTCAAAATGGAAAGATACATGGAAGCATAATTAAATTCATTTTATAAGCAAAATTGTTTTGGACATGTAGTCAAAGCACCTCAAGGTGTGAAACTAGCTGGTAACAAAAAAAAATTGCGCATAAAAAATAAAAAATGATGAAATCGCGAGATACAAAACTCAAATTATTACTCAAGGGCTTTCCCAAAGTTCTGGAATTAATTTTGATAAGACATATCCTCCTGTAGTGGATGGAAGTACTTTTTCGATAATTATTAGCCTTTTAGAATATTCTGGGATTAATTTGCACATTATGGATATTGTAATAGTTTATTCATATGACTCACTTGATAATGACATTTACATGAAGATCCCTAAAGAGTTTAATTTAACTTAGACGCATAATTTGGGATCTCGAGATGACTACTTCATCAAATTGAACACGTTTCTCTATGAGCTAAAACAACGTGGAACACGTGGTTCAATCGTCTCAATGAATATTTACTAAGAGAGAGATACATAAATAACTCCACTTGTCCTTGTATTTATATGAAAATATATGGAAAACAATTTACTATAATTGATGTCTATTTTGATGACATAAATATTAATGGACCTCTTAAAGAGCTTCTAAAAGTTATAAACCGCTTAAAGATAGAATTTGAAATGAAATAATTGTGAAAGAAAAAGTTATATCTTGGTTTACAAATTGAGCATTTGGAAAATAAAATATGTGTACATCAAGAAGCTTATATAGTATAAGTATTAAAATATTTCTATATGAACAAATCTCATATGTTTTCTACCCTAATAATTTTTAGATCATTAGACGTGGAGAAAGATCTTCATACTAAAATGTAATATAGTTCAACATTGTTTCTTCTTCTTCTTCTTCTAAAAGGTAGCCATGTTATTCATACGCTTTATTCTATTTTTCTTTGTATAGGTTCTAATATTCATCACTTTTGAAGAAATTTCAAGGTACGTCATTCCTCGACTTACTCTGTCCATTTGGTTACATCACATTTTGATTTCACTTTCACATGATTTTCAAGGTAAATCACTTTTTGATTTCAGTTTCACATGATTTTCATGTTTTTTTGGATTGTCTATACTTGAATCTCTATTTTTGAAATGGTCAATTCGTGTTTAATAGATCTCTGTTCGAAATCTAGTTTATATTTTCATTTATGTTTAACATCCTATTTATATGATTACATTGTTATGCTAGTTTATGTTACCAAATCTGGTTAGCATGTTGTTTGTAGGATTACAATGTCATGTTAGTTTATGTTATCAAATTTGGTTAACATGTTGTTTGTCGTATTACAATGTCATGCTAGTTTATGTTACCGAATTTGGTTAACATGTTGTTTGTAGGATTACAATATCATGGCAATACATTTTGACTTGTAGGGAAGGTGAAAAAAATTAACTCAAGAAAAAAATACAAGGAGGATGAAGCGGAAGTGAAAGTTGCAAACTTGTGTGAAAGATCCAGAATGACATCCATTCAAATTTAACACAAATTTTCAGCCCTCACTTCAGCTTCATCCTCCTTTCATTGTGGAAACCATTATGAGATAAGTATATCATTTCTTCTTCTTCATTCTCCTCGAACCTTTTCAATAAAAGGTACGTTTGTGAAACATTTCATGAGTTGATATGTTGTTGTTCAAAATGTTTGTCTGATTGAGTTTATTATAGTCTATGTAGATTGCATGTTTCACTAACCCGTTACTGAATATATCACTACTACAAATAACACATCTAACGTCGAACGCGAAATGCATTTTACCTCGGTATTAGAAGCGAGGTAAATAAGATCGTCATAAAAAGTAAAGACTTATTACTTTGGTGTTTAAAACACCGAGGTATAATTTTATTAGCGCATGAGTTCTGTTGTACCCCAAAATCTGTCCTCCCATATTTCTCAAAACATTTCAAGTGAGGTCCTCAAGTTGCTCAAGGAAGTCCAAGGGTTGACCAGACAAACTCTCTCCTAAGGCAGTCTACCTCAAATTAGGGTTTCATGTTGCATCAAGATACTTGAGTCTAAGGGATCCCAAATGCTCACCATTGTCCTAATATGTTCTCAAGATCATTCATGTCAAGTTTCAAGTCTTGCAGAGAAAGTTTGCT